CAAGGAACTTTCTTTGAGTTATCTTCTAAGAGTTGTTCCATATCTTCAGCTTGATAATATATACATTAAAATTTGTTTCACAAGCTAATAATGACGTTCCTGTGGATTATGCATACGTTAAGAAACAAAATTCACCACAAAAGAGATATTTGGACGAGTAAATGTTAAATATTGTAAACCTCCAATGTTGCTGTGATATAATTGTGGATCAGGAAATGATTGACCTACTTCAATGTGAATTTTGCTTGCTAGTGGAGTGTTGACTGGTTTTACATCATCATATGAGATGCTTTGTGCATACTTGACTTGAGATAAAAATAAGCCTTCATAATTATGTGTAACTTTAATGCCTAAAAAATAATGTAATTGACTAAGATCAGTCATAGCAAATGTATATTGGAGACTTTTGATCAATTTAGTCAATAAAGAAGAATTAGAAGCAATAAGAATGATATCATCTACATAAAGCAATAAAATAGCTTGATCAAAATATGAATTATAAGTGAACATGGAAGAATTACTTACAATCATGAAAGCCAATATAAGTCAAATAACTTGTGAACCATGCTCTTGGAGCTTAATGGAGACCATAAAGGGAACAATGCAACTTACAAACATAGTTTGGATGGGCTAAATCAATAAAATTGAGACATGTAAACTTCCTCTGTAACTTTTCCATGAAGAAAGGCATTTTAACCTCAAGTTGGTTAATTAGCCAACCTTTAGATAATGCCAAGGAAATCATCAATCGAATTGTAGAAGGTTTTACCACTGGATGAGGAGGTTGCTAGAGAGCTTTTTGCTAGAGGTTAGTGCTCAATTGTTTCATTTTCTTCTAAATTTCTTGAATTGGTAATTTTAGGGTTTTTATTCTTAATTTGTGAAAAACTTGGAATTGGTTTATAATTGATGTTAATTGATAAATTGGTGATTACTTACATGAATTTAATTAAAGAAAATATAAAATTTTGGTTGGATTTTCCTTTAGGCCGAATTGGTTGCATTAAGCAATTGGACATTTTGATTTTTTCATGACATTTTCAACGGGTTTAAATCATTAAATGGGTTAATTGTTGATGAGTTTTAGTTATAACTTAATGAAATGGAAGATATGAGTTAGTTAGGGTTTGGCCGAATGTACCCTTGATTTTTAAGTATATATATGAATTGTTTTATTGATTTGAGTTTTAAATTATTGATGGTATTTGATGAGTTTTAAATGGCTAAACTAAAAGAAAAATAAATAAATTTATAGGATGAATATCTAAACATGGTCGAATGGCACTCTTAATGACTTTATCGTGTATATTTGTTATTTCAAAGCAAGTTTTCTTATGTCAAATGAATGTCAATAAATTAACATGTTGGTTTAACTTTAAAATGTCACATGTGTGACTTGGATGGTATATGGCTGAATGTGACTTATTATGGTCATGATAGATAAGTATTCTTTCTTTGATGATTTTTAATTAATTAAGATACCTAATTACAATGCATAAATGATTTAATGAATTTTTTTTTTTTTTTTAGTTGAGTGATTTAGTGAAGTTAAAGTGTAATAAAGACATTTATATGGATTTGCATATTTTCATGTCGGAATGTGCATACTATATGTATATGAATATTTGAATTCTTTTTATTTTTATAAGCTATAAGATGTGATTTTAAGTTAAAGAATAATATGAAATGAGCACTTAAATATAATTCTTAGCCCTAGTAAACATGATAAGAGTCGGAAGTAGGATAGGGGTATAACATGTCATATACATATTAGCAATACTGTGGTAAAGAAAAATATGATTTGATATTTGACACTTGATCAATGTCCTGTAGTTCTAGGCGGACAAACCCTTTGGCACGATGTGCCCTATAGTTACAGTTTTCCTTTATCCAGCTTAGATGATCCTGCTAAGAGTTTATGGTTGTTAAGATAATTAAAGAAATTTAATTTGGTATATCATATATAACATAGCATGTAATTTAGTTAATGCTTATATGAACCTATTTATGATATGAATATATAGTACATGTATTATTTGATAAACTTCTCCTATTATAAATAATGCTTTATATGAAGTTGCTATATGCGAATTTTTTATTATCTCATTTGAATTTAGCTATATATATATATGTGATTTTAGTTAATTTTTTATGTATTCAATCGACTTTTTTGTTATAAAATGAGATTATCCAATTTTTTTTGAGTTTTACATCTTGTATATGCTTTAATTATGCATTTTTCAAGATATGTTGAGCATCACTAAGCTTATAGCTTAACTCATTAAGTTTATCACGTGCAGATAATAGAGCGTAGTTGTCATGTCTGAGGAATGATCTGCATTGACATTATAGCTACATTACTGTTGGGTAGATTATCATATTCTTTTTGTATTAGATCACCATACATATATTCTTTTGGCATGCACGTAAACTTATAGCATATGTATTTGAAAGTTATTAATATATTGTACAAATCTATATATGTATATGAAAAACTTTATAAACTCTTGTTATGGATAAATTTGGTTATATATACAAGTTGTTGGGCCTGATGAGTTTAGAAGTGATTATTAGTTGTATGAATTATTTGTGAAAGTAGTTATCTGGGGATTTGAGGTTGGATGTTATAGAAGTTTTTTAAAAGTAGGTTAACAAGAAAGAATACTAAGAAAATAAGAGGAACTCTTGCAATTTTTGAATAGAATTTTAATCATGGATATTGCATGTCTTAGAATATTAACAAGTAAGATTTGAACTATATGCCTTTTGATTCACAATATAAGTACTTTTGGCACAATATATGGCATTCATGGCTCGGTTTATCCATAAAATCGAATATTTCTTAGAAAAAGGGAGAGAGAGAAAGAGATTATATATTAATTTGAGAATTTATGGTAGTTTGATTTTTTATGAAAAATTAATAGCAAAAGTTATACTTTTTGAACAAAAGGATGGAGTAATTTGATTAAGCAAAGCTCAAGGACATTATAATTATTTGAACAAAATACAAAATCAAAGTTATTAATTTTGTTAAAATTCAGGGACTAAATAAATATTTTTCTTATATTTTAAATTAAGAGTATAAATATATGACTATAGTTTGGGATAATTGAAAAAGAAAAACGAGCTTATTTTTATGAGGTAATACTCAAATGCTATGGACTAAGTGAGTATTAAATTTCAAAAATATTTTGCATTTTAATAATTTTTAAATCAAACTAAAGCTTTTTTTCATAAGAAATCAAATTAGAAATTTCATTAAGAGGAAACTGTATACATATATATTTTTATATAGAAAGTCTAATAATGGCCAAATACATGGATTTGCACCAGAACTTTCACAAAATAATTCTATGGTTCCCCAACTTTGCGGGGGATCAAATATGCAACTCAAGTCCTTTTTTTTTTTTTTTTTTAAATATGCAACTCAAGTTCCTTTTTTTTTTTTTTTTTTTTTGGATCAGTTTGTGGAGAAACAAATTGCCCAAATGAAGCGTTGTTTTTTTTTTTTTTTTTTTGCATCAGTGTGGAGACAATTGCCCAAATGAGCGTTGATTAGAGTTATAAAGGCCAACGTGAAAAAATCTTATCTAGCTTGGCTCTTAGTAACATTTTCTCTTTCATTTTACAACTATTTTCTCTCTTTTTTCTACCTAAAAGCAGCTTGAAATTCTTCTCTCCCTCTCCGTTTCAATAACTTGAGTGCAAGAAAAATTATTTTGTGCTTCCTCGTCGTGAATTTTTTAAGGGAGATAAAGCCAATAGACTAAGGCCAGCATTTTTCTCCGTTTTCTTGTGGACCAAACACACAGTCAGTTCATCGTATATTCAAATCAATATCGTACACTAAAAAATTTGCAAAGCAAAAATTACATCTGAATATAGCTTCCATGATTTGAAAGAATAAGATAAGAAGCTTCTAATCTCCTTCTCCATTGTATGTCCTTGTCCAAGTTGGTAAAAGTTGAGTAGGACTGTTTAACTTACAATTTCAGTCAAATGGGCCTTATTTTCCACTAAGTTATTCTAGTCAGCGCTAGATAAGCCTCATTTTCCACTAAGTTATCCTAGTTAGCGCCAATGTAGTTCACGCACGTCTGCCAACATAGAAAGGTGCATGATTGATGCAAAAAAATGGACTTGAGGTGCATAATTGGTCCCCTGCAAAGTTAAGGGTGTGGTAGAGTTATTTTGTGAAAGTTCAGATGCAAATCTATGTATTTGGCCAATGTATAATAATAAATCACTTATATAAAGAATAAAAAAATATAATCTTGATTTGAACTATCTGATCGAGTTGATATAACATGATATTCGTGCCATCGGTGATCACTTGCTCCACTTGGTATCTATTCATGGTCACTGTTCGACCCTATAGTCTTTTTACAAGTCTGATCTAATCATTTTCAAATTTCTTCTTTGTATTAGAGAAAAATCTGCATTTCTTTCTATATAATTATCCAAACGACAAAATATCTTAAACAAAATCACCAAAATGGTGAAACAATAACTCAGAATTAGATGTTAGAATAAAATCTCAATATATAGCAACAATAATTTGGATTTGTATCAAAACATGATGACTATATTAATTAATTTATATTTTCAATGACAATTCAGTTGAGTCGACTTTTTAAATAAGTTAAATTTGAATTTCAAATTTTTTGATCGAGTTAATTCCGAGTTGATGTTGTAGTTGATTCTATCTGACTCGGTTGAGTTAGATTGCACACCGACGCGAATCTCTTATTTATTATTTAGGAAAGAATATCATAAATAAAGGTAAAACACATTTATTTGATTTCAGACCACTATCCAAACGACGTCGTATGAACTCTATATGCCTACCACGAAGTAGGTGACACACATGCTAATCTCACCGCCCAAAACGTGGCATACTTTTGCACCGTGTACAACAAGTGTCAAAACATTAGTGGATTAAACGTCTTCACTTGCCATATATTGTTGACCGTGACCGTGATACTAGCAGGCTAAAGCCACCACACATACCAAACGTGAAAGAAAGGAAAGGGCCTCGCATTTCAAGTAAAAGGAAGTCTATCTTTATCATCGCAAACCCTCTCTCTCTCTCTTAGCCCTAGATTTTCTCTTTCTTTCTCGGCCCCTCTGTTTATTATTTTCTCGAGAAAATGGTAAGGAACATCTATAACTCTGCTAATCACTCTCTGTTTCTACCTGTGATTTCAATTCTAAAGCTCTTTCTCCATTTCTATGTTTCAGCTATTTTTGATTATTCATCTTTAGCATATAATCGATTTCCTTTATTTTTTCCTTGTCTGTATTTGCTTTTGATCGCTAAATAGAAAATTTTGTTTGATTTCGGGAAATTTTTAGCTAAAGCTGTAAGTTTTGATTAGGGTTTTTGTTGTACAACGACTTGAATTGCTTGTTTGATTCTGATGATCTCTCGCTACTTGTATCTGCTGTGATTATCGTATATTTCTCTGATGGTTGTAGTGTAGAGGAACTATAGCGTGTTTGATGTTGGATTTTGCTATGTGTCTTTGAGATTAGTGCTTTTTCTTTATTGTTTGGTTATTTAGGTAATGGTAAATTTAGGTTTTGTCAAAATGTTATATATTCGGAACCAAGTCCGATTTCTCTCTTTACTTTTCTAATTTAAATAATATTGTAATGACACTTGTTGAGGTTTGCTAGTAGAGGGGGGATGTCTTTTTTTTTTTTTTCTCTCTCTCTCTCTCTCTCCTTGCACTGGATTGGTGAATTTTTGAAAGGTTGAGCAATTAGGCATTCCTCTCCAGAACAAGAAACATTATGGGATAAAATTATTATCCTATTTGGGAAATGAATGATCTCTTATCTTTCTAACCGGTGATTTTGAAATTGAACTATATGCTAGATTTTTTAGAAGTAACTTGAAAGTGGACAAGCAATTTATTTTTAGTTTTGGACTATGCTTTTCACTATGCTTTTCTGCTATTTGCGGACCGTTTATTGGATATACATACCTGGTGGAGCTTGGTGGCGCACATAAATTTGTGATCGTAGGAAAGGTGGGACTACTATTTTATGTTGGGGGTGGGGGGGGGGGTTGTGCATCGTGGAAAAGGTGGGACTAACTATTTTATGTTGGGGGTGGGGGGGGGGGAGAAAAGGTTCAAAGTGTCCAGTCAAGTTTTTAACAAAGTTGAATCCACCCAAATGGAAGAAAATATGTGAAGGGGGTGGGGGGGGGGGAGAAAGTTCAAGTGTCCAGTCAGTTTTACAAGTTGAATCACCCAAATGGAAGAAATATGTGAACTCCTAACATTTTTATTGGTATGAGAAATCAAACTGGACCAGATTTTATCGGTTGGGCTAAGTAGGAAATAACAGGGAGACCAATCCAAGTGTCTTCAAAGCAAAAGCGAAGCCAATGCCAATGCCCCTTAGTAGAAATTGGAGTTCCAACTTCACTTTATTCCACATTGAAAGCTTCTTATAAAAGTATTCATGTAAGCATTTGCAATTAGTTACTTTGCTTAATTTAGTTGATAATTAGATGTGGAGAAAGTTCTAAATTTCCTTCTCTGAGTAATATCCCTTTCAAACTTGCCCATTTTTGGGAAATAACGAGCTGTGACGGAACAACTTGTGAAAAATTTTTCATCATTCATCAATGCAGTTCTTTGGCAAGTTCTTTACTAATAGATGTTTATAAGATGCAAGGATATGTGGAATTACAGCCTTCAATTTGACCTAAATGCTTGGGTGGTTATGAAAATTATTTGATGATAATGAAGTATTTCTTTCTTTACATTTGCAGGCAAATGCAGCATCTGGGATGGCTGTGCATGATGACTGCAAGCTGAAGTTCTTAGAATTGAAGGCAAAAAGGACCCACCGCTTCATTGTCTTCAAGATTGAGGAGAAGCAGAAGCAGGTGGTTGTGGAGAAGCTTGGCGAACCAGCTAACAGTTATGAGGATTTCACAGCAAGCCTTCCTGCTGATGAGTGCCGTTATGCTGTCTATGATTTTGATTTTGTAACAGAGGAGAATGTCCAGAAGAGTAGGATTGTTTTTATTGCATGGTAATTAGTTAATTCTTTTCTATCCCGCATCAGTATACTTGTTTTGTTTTTTCAATCATTATTTTATTGTTTCATTTATTTATTTTTGATTTGTGCATGAAGGTCTCCTGATACATCTAAGGTGAGAAGCAAGATGATTTATGCTAGCTCAAAGGACAGGTTCAAAAGAGAGTTGGACGGTATTCAGGTAGAGTTGCAAGCAACTGATCCTACAGAAATGGGTCTTGATGTTATTAGAAGCCGATCAAATTGAATGTAGGATACCTACAATGTGATGGAGATTCCATATTATCTGGTCCATTAAATGTAATGTTTATAAAAATTTGAACCTAGAATTTGCTTCTCTAAGTCGTGTCGTTATATATTTGTGGATTCGTGGGGTTGTATACCCTTGAAGTGTGATATTTACGTACAATTTATATGATGGTTTGTGGGGGTATAGTTCACAGCTTGAATTGGTTGCATGCTTCTGTGATTTTCTGTGGAATTAGATTATGCTCTCTATCGGTTTTAGTTGTATGTATGGCTTGTGATGAGAAATCAAACCGTAGTGTAAGAAAGAGCCATTAAGGGGGGTGGGATTTAGTCCTTTGGTTTAAATAAGGCCAAATCGGTATAAGCTGAATAAATTGAACTTTTGTATAGAGAAACTGAATCGAACTGAAATGTTTACAGAATTGAACATATTTGGTTTTTTGTGGCTTGGTTTGATTGTTAGGCTTGATTTACTTTTTTAATTAAATCAGTTTGATTTTTTCAGTTGGAAAAAGGGTTAGCTATTTTTATATGAAAATCGAAACTGAACTGAAGCCTTAACTAATGACACTAGAAAAGCTTAAGAGAAGGGTAGCTGATGACTAACGCTTAATTTGTTGAATTGGAGGATATGATCTTCTGGCACATTCGCTCCGTAATTTCGAAAGAGGTCCGTGGCACTGCAACATCATGGGTGCTGTTGCGTGCGGCCATTTAGGTTTTTACGGTGAAGTTTCTTTAATTTTAACTGAAATTCTACCGTGAATTTTTTGACATTTACAAATTTATAGAATGCACATTTTGAAGTACTAACCTATCATCTATTCTATGCCATATATAAATGTAGAAATAAAAATAAAGGAATATAATGTTCTAAATGAAATTTAAATATCCTGAAACAAAATCAAATATGATCAATTAAAAAATTATAGTTTATTAGTTGGTTGGTTTTTAAATAAACATATATAGATAATTAATCATTTCAAATTTTAAATTTTATTTTTAAATATTTGATTCTATTTTTGGTTGGTTTTTAAAAATAAACATATATAGATAATTAATCATTTCAAATTTTAAATTTTATTTTTAAAATAATTTTGGAATTCTATTTTATTATAATTTAAAATATTTTTATTTAAGAATATAGATAAAAAACGAAAAATTATTATAATTTAAAATATTTTATTTAAGATAGAGATAAAAAACGAAAAAAAATATATCTGAATATTCTTTTTTGTTTGTATAATTTGATTTGATATATTTTTTAAAAAATAAATTTTAAAATAGAATATATGTAATTAAACCTTTTAAATTTTATTTTTAAATAAAATTAACATATGTGTGTGGGATGATGAACAATTGAAATTTTAATTTTAAAAATATATACAATTTTGTTTTAGAACATATAAAATCTAAATTATATAGGACAAATTATAATCAATATTTAATATTAAAAATAAAAAATGAGTATAAATAATAAATAAAAATGAGCAATGACATAAAAAATTAAACGAGTACAAATAATAATTATAATCAATGTACAACACACGGCATAAAAAGATTAATATACGTAAAAGTACAAATGAGGGGCTATGGATTCCTAAAATGCCCTGCTAAGTTTATGGACCGATAAGAATATCATTGAAAACTTTAATTTTATTGGTTGAAAAAATAAAAGTAGTTTAATTTTGATTGGTTGTGTTTTTTTTTATTTGAATTTAAATTTTATTAGAAAGTTTAATCTAATTCAAAATAGGAAATTCTCCAAGTTTGATTTTGATTGGTTATATTAATTTTTTATTTGATTATAAATTCTATTAGGAAGATGATCAAATGTCCCGAGCCATTGGATATCCGGTCCAATCCGAAATGGATCAGATATGAATTTTAAAAATAAAATCCGCTATGAATCGAGTACAGATATAGCATAATCTGATCTGAATCTAATTGTGAAAGGTAACTTTGTTTTTTTTTTCTTATATTTCTAAATTGTTAATTGTAATTATAGATGTGCTGTTGTCTTTATTCTTCTCTTTTTTTTCTTTCTCTTCCATTTATATTTTAAATTATTATCTCAACTCTTTTACCTTCGTATTTTTTTTAATCTCTACTTCAAATAAAAGAATATGAGTTAAACATTATGTACTATTGACATGATTTCTTCTGCGCTTATAATTTTTAAAGTCTTTTCTAGTTATCATAGTATGCAATATTTTCAATTATTATTAGTAATTTTTGTGTTTTCATGCACAATAAATAATATAAATTTTTATTGATTATTGTTCTGTTTTTATTTTTCTTCTAAACATAATAAAAAATGATAATATTGGATCCGACATCTGATATTCGCGGAGCAGATATGGATATGAATATATCAAAATCTTCATGGATCGGATATGGATTTTGCATAATCTGATCCGAGTTCAATCTATGATCATCCATAGTTTAATTTAATTCTAAATAGAAAATTAATATTCTCTCCACCTCATTTTGTTTACTTATTAATCCTTTTTTAGATGTTCTAAAATGTTTGCAAGACTTTTAAATTTAGATATGTAAATAATTATTTTTTTATAATAACCGTTATAATTATTCATTAAATAAATGGCTTTTATTAATATCTTGACGAGTTAAGTGTAAAAAAAGGTACAATAACTTTTATTAATTAAATTTTTAATATGCATGTTTTGTCAAACTATGTAAACAAAATAGGATGAACGTAGTATTATATAATCACTAGCTAATACTATAACATTATGTTACTACTTATAATAAATATATTACTATTTATTTATTCCTTTTATTCAAAATAAAATAAATAAATTGTAAATTTATGTAGTAAATTTATCCGGAAATTAATTTTAAAAACTTAATTAAGTACTTAATAAAAATTTAGGGATGAAATTAAGTACTTATCAAATTAAACATGAAATCTGTCTCAAAAAATGCATCTATCCCATCGTGGAGGAATTTAGAATTAAGTACTTATCAAGTCAAATACCATCTGTCGCATCAATCACAACGAGCATAAAAAAAAAAAAAAAAAAAAAGTCAAATAACCACCTGTCCCGCATCAATCAACAACGATGCAATAAAAAAAAAAAAAAAAAAAAAAAAAAAAAAATCTTAATTGAATAGACTAATTAAAATACATTTCTTAGAAGAATCATTCTTAATTAAATTTAATTAAATAGACTAATAATTAAAATATTTTATTATTATTAGTTTTTTGTAATTGATAATTAAAATAGTTGATCATTAATAGCTCACTTTACAATTTAGATGCACGCACAATCTTTCATTGAAACTAACTAAATACACTGATTTGGATATTTCATCAAAACTAATCAAATACACTGATTTGGGTGAGTTCATTCATATTCTTCGTTAATAAAATTAAAAATTAAATTATAAAAATAAAAATTAATAATTCATACACTTATTTTGAAATGATCCGAAATTTTAATTTTATAAGTTTTTGAATTTAAATTAATTAGGTTCTATTTTTTTTAATATTGTATTCTCTATTCGCAAACCGAACCAAAAGGAAAAATCCGAAAGCCCTTCGATCGCGATCGAACCATTGAAAAATCAAGAAAAAGGGGCTACTAGAAGCTGGTTGAGGAGAGAGAAGGGTCTTCTTCTCCTCCTCCTTCCTTCTCCTTGATGCTGACTCCCTCTCCCATCTTCTCTTTGTTCCCCAGCCACCAGCCATGAGATCCGGTGAGTGAGAGCTCTAAACTCAAGCGCTTGATGAGATGAATAACTTGGTGGTCATGGTTCGCGCGACAAGGGCCTGGATCGAGAGGAAGCTCGATCAATAGGAATCAGCACCGCTGCGATTCCATTCTCCGGGCTTTTATACGCCGATTCTGGCGAAGATAGGCCTTGGAGTGAGCTCGAATCGAATCCTGGTGATGGGGAGAGTATTTTCCCTAAGCCAATTGATGTGTGTATCGGAAAATGCTGAGGCCACCATGAACGGCGGCGGGCTTAGCTGCTGCAGGCTTGATTCCTGCCAAATGGCTCATCGGTTCTCTGAAGTGATGCCAAAATCGAACTCACCCCAAATTTCAAGCAGAGTGGTGTAGGCCTCGTGAAGTTCCGGGACATGATTTTTCGGCGTTGTGCAGTGGGTCTCCGGCAAGACCTTGAGAGGCAGAATTCCTCCTTGTCACAACGATCATGGTTCTGCAATCCGATTTTAATTTGGTGAGCTCTAGGTCTTGATATCTTGTTTTCTCACTATATTTAATTACAGTTATTAAGTTAGTTCAGTTAATTTAGTTAACATAGATTGACTCATATAATACAAATCGGGATTTAAATTAGTATAATTTATTAATACAGAAATGAAGTACTTGTTATGTTAGATCCTAATATTGAAAAGTTGAGAAACTGATTAAGTGGAGAAATTACATAATTATTGGTTGTGAATTCTTATCTAATATGTTTATCTGACTTTGGTTAATTTAATGTTAAAATTATGGATTAAATTACAACTCTGTAGTTGAGCTATGGTGAAACCAAATTGAATTTGGTATTGTGCAAGGATTATATTGTTGATGAATTGGTGTATGAGAATTATATGGTTGATTCGCTCGAAGGATGAGCCGTGTGAATTGGATGAATAGAAATATTGAATAATTGATAATATTGCTATTGTTTAAGCAGGTAGATAACCCTTTTTAGGGGATATGTTGCCAAACTTTCAGTAGCAGAAACCTAAACAATGAGATTAACTAACCTTATTTTCAGTAATTAGAATTTATGGAAATTGCTTAACAAAAGACTTATAATGAACTTAGACTAGCGTATTATAGCACATATGAATTTGGATAAGTGAGTTAGGTGTTGAAACAATGATAATGCTTGTGGATTTAATTGACAGGTGATGAGACATGTAGTTACGTGTAGTCATTATAACTGTATTTAGTAAGTAAAGTTGTAAGTGATGGAGGATGGGAATTGACTTGTGGTTGCTTGTCCAATGGATGGGCTGTGTTGGATGTTGATACAAATTTATGCATTTTATTGGTTAAATGAGAAAATTGAAAATATAGGAGTAAATCCGGTTTTAGGGGAGATTGTAACACCCCAAAATTTTAGGTCTTAAAATGGTATTACTATACCGGGTTATAAATGATATTGTCTGATAGGAAAATGATATTTATTTGATCCAAGAAGGATATTAATAATTATGGATTTAATTAGACTTTATATTAATCTTGATTAATTAAATTTGAAATATGAATTTCTTATGGTCAATTTTTATTAATAAATAATTTCATAGGGGTAGTTTAGTAATTTCACATGTGTAGAGATTTAATTTATTAAGATATGATTTATGCTCATATAGATGAGTTATGGTGCCATAAATTATTTTAGTAATTTTAATTATGTGGAGAAATAATTTATGGCATGATATGTATAAATATAGAGTTTTTATAATGTGTAGTTAGACTCAGTATAGTGTCTAATTCTAGCCTTAGGATGAGAGGAACCTAAAATAAATTCTGGCCTTCTATCTATAAGACTTTTGACCAAGTCAATCTTGTCTCTACACAATGGCAAGTTACCATATTGCCATTAATGAATTAATATGAGTATTTAGATGAGATTTTAAGATCTAATCGCCACCGTCCATTTGGAGAAATGACCAAAGTGCCTAAAACTCATATAAGATCTAAATAATCAAATGTGCTACAAACCATCTTCTTCTTCATCAAAACCCTAGCAATCCAAACCCAAGCTCTCTTTCTCTCCCCTCAATTTTTCTTCACAATACCATCAAAGACACCATTTTTTAACAAGTTCAAACACAAATATTTAAGTACCTAAGCTAAGTAACTTCTTGCATCAAAATCCCGAATTTTCACCATTTGGTAAGCTTTCTCTCACTAAAATCTATTCTATCTCTTTCTCTCTCATCTAAAATCTTAGTGATTTTTCAAACTAGTGCTAGAAATAAGTTCTCATATATTTATTTATGTTATTCATGCAGTTAGATTTAAGTTTCATTAAATCTATGTATTTATTTTAGATTTGTTTCTTTCTTAGAAGGTTCTACCTCCAAGAATAAGAGAAAAGATGTGTTAGAGGCTAGTGTTTTGGAGGTTTGTGCTATTTTTCCACCATTTTAGATATTTTAGAAATTTCTTATTTGGTTTGATGTTATTATGCAAGAAAATGTAATTTTTATGTTACTTTTGCCTTGATATATGCTTAAGTTGCATTTTTTGAGCTTAATATGCTTTATGCGGTAATTTATTTTTAGTGTCTAATCCTAGTCCGAAAATGTTGAGGTTGTCCTCCTTTTATTTTTCCTGGTTTTCATGTTATTTTTATATTATGGTGGATAGCTTTTATAATTTTATGGTATAGATGTAATATGAGCTTATTTGTGCAAAATGAGTAATTTTTCCTTGTGTTTTGCATTAGATATTTGATCATTTAGAGGGCTTTTCCTCTTTATTTTTCATGTTAAAAATTATTATCTTGATGACTAAAATGAAATATAATTGTGATTTGATGATAAGAGTATGGCAGATGTTCAAATTGATGAGAAAAATGCATTTTGATGTATTTTTACTTGGAATTAAGTGTGGGGCTGCTACCTCTCACTATTTCATATTTAATATCTTATTTTGAATTAATTATTTATGGTAATGAAACATATATTAAGGTGGGTCTCAAGTCTCATGAAGTATGATTGGTGATTTGATGATTTAAACGTGTTTTTATGTTGATGTGTTAATTAAAATGAACTTGGGGTGCAAATAGTATATTTTAATTTTATGATATGTAATGAAAATGTTAATGATGTTATATGATGTGAATTATAAGTCTAATGTGATTATTAGTGAATTATGTGACATAATTAAAGTTAAATGATAATTGGGTCAAACCCATTAGGCTAAAGCCCAATTATAAAATCTCAAGGATAAATTGGATATGTTCCATTGACTCATGACACAATACCTATGCCTTGAGGAGTTAATAGAACAAATGAATGATTTAAGGACTAAGTATAAAATTACTATGGACTTGACTATAATTAGGATGATAATTAACTAACATTGATGATGATAATCATTAGGACTTAATTAATTGACTACGTGTAGTATAATTAATTGATTAAATGATTAAAAAGGATATTTAGATTAATTAGGCGAGCTAATGGTAAATAAGGAAAATAATATAATTTTATGGCTATTAAGTTAATAGGTAGCTATTAGAACGATTTAGTAGTTAAAATAAATTAGTGGATTTAATAATCCTAATTGGGTCAATTAATTTATTAATTGATCAATTTAAGTTTTAATTATGAGAATATAATTATGAGAATATAAGAGAATATGAAAATTATGGATAAATTAGGTGGTCATTTGTCATGTTGGATTTAATACATTGTGAATGTGCCGAAGTCTTGAAAATTGTGTCAATTAATGAAAAAAAAATGATTATGTGAACGCATAGTATAATTGATAAATTAATTGAATGATATGAATTTAAGTGCCATGATTGAATATTTTGTGAAATAAAATATTCTTTATGTGCATGATATGAATTTATGTAGTTATATATGAATTATGAGATTTTAAGTATGGTTATGTACTTAATATGTGATTTTATGGAATTGAAATTATGATGAAATATTTAGTATGGAAAAATATGATTTTTATGAAAAAATGAAATTTATGAAAGAGAACATTTTTCAGTTTGTAAGAAAAGATTCCGGTGTATTTATGAGACAGTAAATTCTAAATGTTGATATGTGAATTAAGAAATGAATTAAATATAATAAATCTTTTATCAGTCCTAGTTCACTTGGTCAAGTCAGTAGTAGTATAGAGGTATGATATGCCATAGGAAAAACAGTACTGTCTACATGTGACACGTAGGGTCTTACAAGGGCTACTGAACCTCATTTTATGGATATGGCCATTTGATTCCGACTGATGGATCATTGATGTTATATAGACTTTTCGAGTCGTATTTTTATTATGGAATTCTTTGTCAACTATTTGATTCTTCTAAGTGAGCTAGTGGCCTAATTAAAGATACAGTTTTTCTTTTATAAAATAAATAAAGAATTGAATTATTGCTTTTATGGAATTATACTAAATTATGTTACTCTATGATTAAGTATGTAGTTATGATTTTATTTATTGATGGATGATTTGTAAATTTAATATTACATGTTAAATTATGCATATTTTATTACATGATTGAATTAAGCCTTATTATGTTGAATATTGTGACTCCATGATTAAATATATATTTCTACGTACATGAATACTGAACTGAATTGTATATGCTGATTAATTAAAGTAATGTTATTAAGTAATTAAATAAATAATTAATCATGCTGCTAATTATGGATTTATCCAGTTTGTTGTAGTGATATGACTATATAAGGGATTACGTGAAAATTTAGTGAAGCATGATTTAAGTGATTCTATTTCTACGTACATGAATACTGAACTGAATTGTATATGCTGATTAATTAAAGTAATGTTATTAAGTAATTAAATAAATAATTAATCATGCTGCTAATTATGGATTTATCCAGTTTGTTGTAGTGATATGACTATATAAGGGATTACGTGAAAATTTAGTGAAGCATGATTTAAGTGATTGTGTATTTGTTTTCGCACCGCCCCCGGGCGATCCGAAAAACTGTCAACCTTTTGCTTTGATTGTGGAAAAAGTGATTTTTTTGGATACGATGTCGATAAATCGGTCTTATAAAACATTTTGATTCGATACCCATTATTTCGGCAATGGGACCGTTTTCAATTTTATTTTATAAAAATGACTCCATTTAAACCCAATTTTATTTAAGGCCAAAATTATTTTAGTAAGGCGAAACCAAGGGCGATTCTGAGTAAGGGAATTGAGGTTCGGCGGCCCGTTGGAAGCCGACGCCCAGAAAAAATGCGGCCTCTTTTAACCTTACGATTCTAATTTATTGTAGTTAGAAAAGCTAAATTATTTATTGTACTTAAATCCAATCCGAATGAATCGAACCGGTTCTTATATGGGAAAATTAATTAATTGTCCCAATTTTAAATTTAGTCATTGTATCCATAATCATCAAATCATCCAACCCAAAGCAGTTTAAATCAAAATAAATAAAAGACCTGCTCTTGCCCTTATGGTTAAAAGGCGGGCCACAAACCGAGCCTAAAAAATACATTCTACCCCGAATTGAAAATTTTTGAACCCAACAAATCCCTAAAAACCCAAATCTGCATAATTTTTACATTTTAATATTCTAAAAACTTAATTAAATTAATAAATCTGTCCATAATTGGTCATTTTCGGAATTTATTGGAAAAATTTAAATTTTATTTTGTACAAAATTTATTATTTTTTCGAAAGAATAAAAATGTTTCTGGATCCTAAAAAACGAGTCGCGTCTCGCAGTTGTTCTTGTAAGAACAGTTGCGTGTGCAGCCTATAGCTGCGTGACACGGCTGCTTCTGGGTAAAAGAAACGAAATTTGGACATGAACAGTTCTGTCACGCAACTGCCCAGCCGCCGTTACGGATCTACTGCGATGCATGACCGCAACTGCTCTGGTCCGTTTCTGTTTTTAAATTATTTGTTTAAAGCGGTTTTATTTGAATATATTTTTAGGCAACTCGAATGACAAAAAACGAACAGAGAATTACAATCCAATAAGATCCAAACTACTAAAAACACAATAAAATCAAATAATCCAAGAATAAAAAAAAACAAAAGGTGTTAAAGAAATTTACCTAATCCTCAGATTTGAGGATATTGTAAACGTGTTTAACGAACGGAGGTTACAAGCGATCCAGAAGCTTCGTCACCAATGGATTTAAGCATTTAACTCTTTTTCCTATTTTTTTTCTCTCCTTTTTTAGTTTAAGTTCACCTAAAATTTGCGATCTCTAATGGCAATTCTCCTTCAAACTGAACTAAAAGAGCTTTTTGGAGGGAAAGTGGCCGCACAATGCGAATGTGGCCGCACAATGCGTTTTAGGGTTTCTTAAAAATCGTCCCGAATTGTACTTAACGTGAGAAAAAAGATCTATTTATATAAGTAGGGCACAGAGCACAGCTGCGTGACGCATCTGTTAGCTGCGTGATGTGGTTTACTTGCTGTATCAGAGCTACATGTCGTTTAATACAAAAATGGCATGTAGTCTAACATAGCTGCGTGATGCAGCACAACTATGACCCAGTCAGATACTTACAATTGATTTTATTTAAATCCTTGGAATAAAAGACTTCTAGATAGCATTAACCCATCATTCCACATCCTCGTATCATCATTGGATCATGCGGGGGATAAAAATACGCGTCAACAGTTTGCCCCCCCACTTTATCATTAATTGTGGAAACGATTAATGTTAAAGTGGCCTACTGACGCGCCTTCAATCTTGGCTTGAATTTGGTCACTTCCAAAGCTCAGTCTGATCGGTTTTGTTGGCTCCAGTCGGATCGGTAATGATCTCCAAAACTCGGTCTGATTGGTTTTGAAGATACCTTCGAAGCTCAGGCTGATTGGCTAGAAGGATTTTGATTTGATTGCCCTTATCAACTTCGTAATCCACCATCATTAATTAGGAAAAGGACTGACTCGATCCGCTTCGTAATGCATCATCACGAATAGAGAAAAGGATCCAAACAGCTTCGTAATTCATCATCACTGCTTGACCTGAAAACATTTGCAAAAGAAAAGAGCAATTTCTGTGTACAAATTTCTGTATGTTACAAACAAATCTTGCCTTTTATTAGATATTGGAAGCAATCAACATGCCCCCATGCATTAATAACATAAATTTTGAAATCTTGGTTGGCTCGAAAGATTTGAATTACCTGGAATGCTCCAGTCGGACATACATCAGCGTTCTAGAGCAGCGACAGTCATTTCTTGCCACATTCAGATGATTTTTGAAAAAATGGCAATTTTCTGTAACAACAGAATCCTCGCCTTGGGTTAGGTCTAAGAGCAATTCTGCTATACCAAACAGATTTTGCTTTGGTGCAATTTCTATTATACAAAACAGATTTTGCTTTATCCAAAGCTCGGTTTAATCGGCTTTTGTTGTTCATCTCCTCAGCTCGGTGTAATCGGCTTTAGGGATTGGAAAAGAATCCAAAGCACGGTTATTAATCGGCTTTGTGTTCACCTCCTCAGCCTCGGTGTAATCGGTCAGGGGATTTGGAAAGAAGCCAAAAGCACGGTGGGTTAATCGGACTTTGTTGTTCACCTCCTCAACTCAGTGCGGTGTAATCAGCTTTGGAGTGTTTGATTGTATCCAAAGCACAGTGTAATCAGCTTTGTCCACCTCCTCAGCTTGGTGTAATCGGCTTTGGAGGATTTGATTGTATCCAAAACACAGTGTAATCGGCTTTGTCCACCTCCTCAGCTTGGTGTAATCGGCTTTGGAGTGTTTGATTGTATCCAAAGCACAGTGTAATTGGCTTTTTTTTTAATTAAAAAGAGCAATTTCTGTGTACAAACAGATTTTGCCTTACGGGATCAAAGAGCAATTTCTGTATACAAACAGATTTTGCTTTATGGGTCAAAAGAGCAATTTCTGTGTACAAACAGATTTTGCCTTTTTTAAGTGTTGGAGCGTCAACGGCTTTGAGAAACTATCACTGGTTGACCTGAAAACATTCTCAAAAGAAAAGAGTAATTTCTGTGTATAAACAGATCTTGCCTTTGTTAAATATTGGAGCATCACATGCCCCCATGCATTAGAAATCATAAACTTTGAAATTTGAAATTTTGCTTTGAGAAATTGGTCCTGATCAACTTCGTAATCCATCATCATTAATTCTAGGAAATACGTATTGACTTGAAATCTTTCGCTTCGTAACGCATTCATCTACGAATCGGGAAAAGGCATCCAACAGCTTACAGTACATTTCCACATTAACATCACTGCTTGACCTGAACACAATTTTGACAAAGAAAAGAGCAATATTCATGTGAATACAAACAGATCTGCCATTTATGTTAAATGTTGGAGCATCACATACCCCAATCGGCGTCTATAATCATGTGAATTTTTGAAAATTTTGAAAATTTTTTTGCCACATCAGGGCAAAAGACTTATTATTTTTGCCTCTAGTCCTAAGGATTGGCCCGTACTTCTTATTGGAATTCCCAAGTCCCTGAGACAACAAACATACTTATCTTTTAAGCAAGAACTTGAAAATTTTATATTATTTCCATCCGTTGCCAGATAAACTTATAGAATTTAACGAAAGTCCATTTAAATTTTTAGCAAAAATTGAGTGAGAGATTTTTTTATCAGTTTTTCAAATTTTTTCAGGTATACCATTTAATCCTGATAGCGTAGTGTTTGAGAGATAAACTTATTTATATTGGTTTATTCTTGATGAGATTGTCTCACAACTCCCAGTGAGTCGAATGTGTGTAGAATGCGAGGTTGATTGAATATATCGAGCCGCATCACTGAACTGCAATTGATTTTTTTTTTTTTTTGGGACTTTGCTTTGGTTTCCTGAGCACAAATGAGTAATCATAAAATATCCACAGAATTCGCAGAAAAGGGGAGGCATCCCACACACTTGCAAGAGCCGGTCCATAACCCTTGTTATGAGGCGAATGGCTTTATCAGAGTGCCCTTACTTTAGTTTGTCCAGAGAGAGTGGAGACAAAACAGACACACTAGGCAATCGAAATATATTGCCTATCGGTCATAAACCTGGAACACCTTGTTAACATGGGCATAAATGCCCATCAACTTTATTCCAAAATGGACAAAAGACAATACAATAAAATGAAAGCCAACCAAAACCACAAAAACAAAAAGGATTTATACTTTTTTTTTTTTGAAAAGATGAGGCGGCC